TTCAAAAGTCCATTCCAAGACCAGTCTCTGCCTGCCCACCTGCCTGCCTGCCTGCCTGCCTGCCCCTTCCTCCCCTGCCAGAGATCGGGATGTAGCTCTCAACTACTTCTGCAGCACCATGCCTGCTGCCATGTTCCCCACCATGATCATAATAGACTAATCCTCTGAAATTGTAAGCAATTAATTACATTAAATTAATTAAATCCCCAATTAAATACTTCCTCTTATAAGGGTTGATATCGTCATGGTGTTTCTTCACAGCAACAGAACAGTGACTAAGACAGATACCATGGCATTTTTTCCACAAAGAGTTTCTTTTTCTCCTTCTAAAGACTGAATAATATTCCATTATGTCCACACATATACACATACCACATTTTATCCATTCTTCCATTCGTGGATACCTATGATTCCATATCATGGCTACTGTGAATGCTGTTACATATCAACAGGCAATAAAAACACCGCTTTCTAAAGTTACTTATACTCCCATAATTATTGGAGCATTATATAGGTATTAGTTCATATTCACTAGGATGGCTATACTTCAAAAGACAAAAGTATTGGGGAATACATAGAAAAATGGAAACTCTTATATATGCTGGGATGGAATATAAAATGTAGGCAACTATGGAAATCAAGCTAGTAGTTTCTCAGCATATTAAGTATGTTACCATATGGTTCAGCAATTCCACTACATGGTATCTGAAATGTGCCCACATAAAAATTAACAAGAATATTCAAAGAAGCATTATTTAAAATGGCCAACATGAGGAAGCTACTCAAATAACAATCAATGGATGAATACATAGATAAAATGTGTTGTGTATATATAGTGGAATGTTATTCTCCAAATTGAAAGGAATGATGTCTTGACATGTGCTATAAAAATATTCTTAGTGAAAGATACCAAACACAAATGATTACATTTGTACAATTCCACGTCCATGAAATGTACAGAATAGGTAGATGCCTAGAATGAGGCAGAATATTAGTGTTTGCCAAGAGCTGCATTGAAAGGGTGAATAATAATCAGCTGATAAAGGGAAACATATTTATAATAATGCTTGAATAAATCTGTGACTGTATGAAAGCTCTTGGAACTGTATGCTCTAAATGAGTAGCTCACATTGTATATAAAGTATGTCTAAATCCAAGTATTTCAGAACACTGTTCAGTATGAATAAGATGCTTTCCAATTAGAGACCCGAGAGCAAGTGACTCACTTCTCAGGCCGCCCCCACCCCCATTTTCTAGATTATTTCTGCTCAAATCTGATGCAAGAGAAAGATTCAAGGAAAGATTGTGGTAACTACCAAGAACTTTAATTCCCCTAGGTCTACACTATAGAAGAGCTTGTTGTACAATACAACTACAAGGAATCCTAACCAACCCCAACTATTGCTCCTATAGTCTGTTTTGCCACAGTTCCCAACTCCCTCCTGGAGTGTACTGATGCTGCTCCCTACCTCTCAAGTTATCTAATCTCTCTCAACGTCATTTTATCAGAGTTTGGGCTGTCTCATCTCTGATATGTAAAGGAAAATGCATTTTTCAAACAGAGAACACGTGGGATTCTGAGTGACTCATTTGATTCTCACAACAATGGGCTTTTCAAAGTACACTTACTTATGTATACTTATCTGTATGGGGGTAGAGGGAGATGCATGCCATGATGAAAATGTGGAGGTCAGATAATAACTTGTAGGCGTTCATTCTCTCCTTCCACCATGTGCATCCTGGGGACTGAACTGAGGTTCATCAGTTTTGGTGCCAGGCTCCTTTTCCAATAAGCCATTTTGTCTACCCCAGCAATGCTTTGAGATAATATATTATTTCCATTTTACAGGTTGAAAGACTAAGTTTTATAATGCCTAGGTAATTTCTTCAAAGTCAGAGAGCTGGTCAGCATCATGGTTAGAATCTGAACTCAGACTGATGGCAAAAATAGTGTGTTTAATCACAATGCTATTTTTATTTATGAAAAGTCCTTTAATACAGTTCCTAGTCACTCTTCATACTTTCAACAATTGCACTGTTATCTAGTGAAGATGAACCTCATTTCCTGCCTGTTGTTTTCTTTCCTACTGGTTGTTTTCTTGTCCTCCCTGCCCCAACACACATCCAATGGGTTTTTCAAATATTTTCAGTTCAAACTTTCAACAATCAGAGCCCACTATTTATTTCTATGTCATCATTTTACCCAGCCTCACACTTTTGTGACACCTCAGTGTAGCCATTCTCCTATCATAAGACAAAATGATGCGCAAGAACAATCAGTTCTAACTAATTCAATCTAACTCAAGTATCCAGCTCTTCTCTACTCCTTTAGCATTATTGTCCATCCCAGTAGCCATGTCTACAGTCCTAAGAGTAGCATTCTATACACTATGTTTCTAGAAAAATGCAATGAGGGAAAGCTTCACAAAAGTGATCATACTTGCCCAGTTACCTGAAGGACAGGTAGAAATGGAGTAAACAAATCAAAAAAGAAGAAGAAATAATGATATATAAGTGAATGAATAAACAAACAGCACAGTATGTTGATCAGACAGTTTGGGTCTGAAATTCTGGGCCCACTTGCTGTCAGCTTGTTTTAAAATGTTTATATGTATGTGAATGTGCCTGAATGTATGAAGACTTATCACATGCACACTGGTGCCAGAAAAAGCCAGAAGATGTCTGATCTCCTGGAACTGGAGTTATAGACAGTTGCAAGTTGACTAATATGGGTGCTAGGAACTGAACCCAGGTCCCCTGCAAGAGCAACAAGTGATCTTAACTACTGAGCCATTTCTCCAGCCCAGAGCCAGGTTTTTGTTTTGTTTTTTCTCTTTGAGCTTCATCTCAAATTCTTAAAAATATGAGTCATATTAATATCTACCTCTCTGTGTTTTGTGAGGATTGAATGAAATCATATAAAATACCTTCCCTCATTCAAGAAAAGCCAACACCAATATAGTAATGAACAGGAGTCATTTTGTGGAAAAACATAGTTTACTAGCCTTTCTTAAATTTGGGAGAGAACTCTGGGAAAAATAAAACCACATCAAGGTAGACTTTAATATTAGGAGAACTGCGGGTGTGGGGATAGAGTGACTAAACTTAGAGGAGGTAAAGGTCAAGGGAGCTGGTGGAGGGGGAGAAGGAAAAAGGAAGAGAGGTTAATAAGGCAGAGAGAAAGAAGATGAGGTAGAAAATGTTTTAGAGATTGGCCAAAACTAGCTACTCAGAATTCATTACTTGGAATTCCTTTAAAATGTATTAATACTTAATTGATTGTTTGCCGCTCTTGTTTGTCCGTAAGCTTTGTAAAGATACTGTGTCCACTACGTTCACTGCTTGGCAGAGAGCACGTTCCACAATGCCCAGAGCACAGTAAATGATTATAAATATTTGTTGCAGCAATGAACAATAAGAGAACCAAAAATCAATAAATAAATAATGCAGATTCATGCATAGCTGACTAAGAAAATATAGACTAGAAATAAACTGTAGAAAAATCAGTTTAAATTTTGGACTTGAGAGTCCGAGAAACATGAGAAGCATGCAGAACAGTCTCATTTTCACTATTAGTAAGATTCCATATGTATAATTTCAGCTTCATAACTGTAGCGCAGAAGTTACAAAACTGTGACTTATTAGTATATGAAGAACAGTGGAGCATCACGTGGGAGTAGCTGCCCCGGAAGTAATAAGAATAAAGGCAGTAAGCATCATAGCAGGCAAACCGGAAGTGACTGAAGCTGAGTCGCGCACAGTCAGAAGAGAAGGCGGTTGCTGTCGGTGCGGTCGTGAGAGCTCGGCAGAGAATAAAAATATGAAAAAATACAGTAATAACTGGTCCTATGAGGGCAAACGTTATGCAAGATCTGGCTATTCCTCTCAGGATCCACAAACAAGCTACAGATAGTAAGTGTATAGAAATATTTGATTCGAATTTAGAAGTCTGTCATGGCCGCTTTGGGATTAACCGTTTTAAGAAATGGTGCCAGGGTACTGAAGCCAGTTTGACCTGGCATTTTCATTACTTAAGCTTAAATCTTAGTCACTTTGTAATCCTGTTTGTTGGTCAGTTTGTTTTAATAATGTGATGATAAAATTTAACTCACAGTTGCCTTAAATAATTGAATATGGATAAAAATGCTTAGAAAAGTGCTTGTAGTCATTATTAAACTGTTTCTGATCAGGCTGTGCTGAATAAGCTGTACACCATAAAACGTAGGATGTTGGGTTTTGGGGGTTTTGGGTTTTTTTTTTTTTTTTTTTTTGGCTTTTTGGGGAGGTGCTTGACATTTAATCCCGTCAGTGTGGAGGAAATCAGTAAAATATTTGTATTTTAAACAGTGGAAAATTTTTTAGGTATCCAACTAAGACGTTAGTAGCAGAGGCTCAGAGTAGAGAATGTTCTAGAACTTTGAATGGTTTTCGGCCTCTCGTGCAGTAGGCGGATTTCTGAGCAGTTCCTCAAGTTCTGCCCCCATTTCCTATTGGCTACTAACCTAGGTTTTCCCGTTTCTCATTGGCCCTCCAGTTTTGGGCCCGCCCCCTGGAATAAAGACATCCTGGTAATCAGGCCCTTTACTTTTAACTTGTGCCAGGGCCGGCAAATGGAAAATAGAGATGCGTTTGTTTTCTGTGTTAAGATTACAAGAGCTGGGTGGTTTGTTTTTTGTTTTGTTTTGTTAAGGGGGAATGTTTTGTGTTGTTTTGTTGTTTTTTTGTTGTTGGTTGGTTTATCTTTTTTTCTCTTTTATGCTAATAAACAGTTTGCAAGTAATTAAAACAGATGGACAGAATCAGTTGGAACTGAAGGGAACTGCTGCTTAAAATTGTAACATGGGGTGATTTTAACACCGGGATACAATGGGCAGGCTGAAAAATCTGTGCCTTTGCCGCCTTTCATTTTCTTGCTAAATATTTCATCTTTCCGCAGCCAAAGGAACCATTCTCGTGGGGAGGTAGTGACACCTCCACTGCTGGAGCGCAAGGAGCACACAGTTTCAAGCTCCCCCATGGCCATGGCTGTGGTGAGTGCATGCCACCATGGGGTGCTGAGGAGCTTGGGCCTGGGCTGCAGAGGGGAGGAGAGGCTAGAGCACAGCCTGGACACATGAGCAAGAGACTAATCAGGGTCTGGCTTGGCAGGCCTTGGGGCAGGGCTTGCTCCCTCCTCCCCCACCTTCTTAGAAAAGATGATAGGTGGGAGTAAAGCAACCATGGGTGGATGGGGGCTCAGTCATTTAAGGCTTACAGTGAGGGCCTTTGCATTGGCGCTTTAAAAATCAGAATCTCCTGATCACTCACAAAGAATGGCGATTATTTTTATTTCAAGAAATACGACTTTCTCAGTAAAAGGGTGGTGGCAAAGTTACTTAATCAGGGATCTTGCAAGAACACTCTGAGGAGATTCGTTTCTTGGTTTTTGGAATTCGTTTACAAACAGTAGTGAATGTTTATATAATGTAAGAAAAGTTTCTGAGTGAGGCTGTTTAGAATTTTCTTAACAGTTTTTAGAAAGCTCAATAATTTTTGAGCTTGGTCATAAATTGAAACTCAGCACTTGGTCAGTGACTATCCACCCCTCACACCTTGTCTACACCCACACCCACCACTCACCCCCAAGTTACTGTTTCAATGGTGTCCTTTTGTAGGTGAATGTTTTGTAAAATACTGAGGTATTCTTTACTTAGTTGTCAAGGAAAGATCCCAGAGTTATATGTAAAGAGTGAAAAGGGGGAGATGAACATGTTCTAAAGACATAGACCTTAAACTAGCAGCAGTTTGCTTTCAAAGCTGAAAACGTTTGTGCCTTGACCTTTAAAATACTCAAATTTATGTGATAGTGGATTTCCCATGCAGCTTTATAGTGATGAATATAAAGTGATAACTTCTGTTGCATATGTTGTGCTGTGGAGGATTGGTGGGATTATGATTTACCTTTGTGAAAATTTTCTTGTAGGATTTTAAAACGTATGTGGATCAGGCATGCAGAGCTGCTGAGGAATTTGTCAATATTTACTATGAGACAATGGACAAAAGAAGACATGTGAGTTTTATAATCTCTGTTGCTCTTTGTTTAAATAACTTTTATCTGACCCACATAAGTAATTACTATGCACACATTCTTTAAGAGTTGTTTTTATTTGGTTACAGTTTGGTGTTTTATTTTTCTTTTTTGATGTTGTTTTATTTTCTTGGTTTCGAAGGTTTCTGTATTGTGTTTTTGTTTGGTTTTTTGAGAAACTACTTCTTGGGAAGATAGGGAAAGGATCTAGAAGGACTTTGGGAAGGGGAAGAATATGATCAAAATATATTTAATTTTAAAAATTGTTTTAAATAATAAAAATATAATATTGCAAGATATTTGACCATACTTCGAGCCTGGAGCTTTCATTGTTTACTGGAAAAACCTGTTTCTAGTTGTGGTGTGACTCAGCCCTAACACACACCTTTTTTTTTTTTTAATTAATTTATTTTTATTTCATGTGCATTGGTGTTTTGCCACAGGTGTCAGGTCCCTTGGAACTGGAACTACAGACAGTTGTGAGCTGCCATGTGGGTTCTGGGAATTGAACCCAGGTCCTCTGGAAGAGCATCCCTGCTCTTAACCACTGAGCCGTCTCTCCAGCCCCGTAGCACACACCTTTAACACAAAAGTTTTCTGCTTGAGTGTTATAAACAGGATTAAATAAAATCAACCATAGGTCAAGAGGTAGAGCAGTTGACAGGAAGTGAATATAGGATTATCATGAAAAAACCATAGAGGGTAAGAGGGAGTCAGGAGGATGGATAGAGATACACACAGGAAGTAGAAAGGAGGGACATTAGAGCTGGGCGGTGGTGGCGCACGCCTTTAATCCCAGCACTCGGGAGGCAGAGCCAGGCGGATCTCTGTGAGTTCGAGGCCAGCCTGGTCTACAAAGTGAGTTCCAGGAAAGGCGCAAAACTACAGAGAAACCCTGTCTCGAAAAACCAAAAAATAAAAAAATAAAAAAATAAATAAAAAAAAAGAAAGGAGGGACATTCATTTTGAGGAGGCATAGGAGAAGGGGGAGGCTTCTGGGATGTCAGCTGAGGAGAAAGGTAAGTGCTTTCTCTGACTCTCTGAGCTAGCAGGCTTTCACCCTAGCATCTGGCTCCTGTGTCTTTATTGATAAAACGATTAAGATTTCATTAAAACCAACATTTGGCACCCAATGTGGGGCACAACCACAAGGACAGAGAAATCATGCCAGCTGTGGACAAACTGAGAAGCCATCAGATTTGGTAAGACACCTGGGAAGTTCTCAAGGAGAGAATTTAAGTAATATTAAAAGGAAAAATTTCCCCCATGTTAAGGATGGGAAATATAATATGGGGCTTTAGGATCCTATACAATGCTACTTTAGATGGCTTAAAAATAGAAGCAGAAAATGAAAAGATAAATGACTTAACTGAGATTGACATAGTACCAATTATAATCACTATCAATCTATAAATTCATATTTTATCCTTAATAGCCATATTGTTTTTTGTGCCAAATATGAAAATTGGTTTGATAATTATGCCAAATATGAAAAGTGGAGTGATAAGATACAAGCCTTAGAAAGACTTATAAATGAAAATAAGAAAAATGCTCAGACATGGAGGAATTTAGACAAGAACCTACCATGCCATCACATGGTGAAACTGAAGAGGGGTGGGACAAGGTTGTTAGAAAACCAACCTTAGCTTATCCAGTTACTATACAAGAACTACCAGCAGACAGTAGACATCCCCAAGGTTAGAAGTTAAATGGAATCCTATAGAAATACCGGATTTGAGGAGATTTAAGGAAGTAGTCATTTCATATGGTATGCATATGTATATTTTAAAGATGTGTTGACCTCGCAATGGAACCCGGATATGTGTGTTACGTTAGGGAAGATTTTGCCTTTGTTTCCAAAGGAGAAGAAAAGCTGTAAATACCATCTAGATTGATAAAGATTAGATTCGAACAGGAGAGACCTCCTGAATAAGGAGAGGTGATAGTTTATCAGACAGTTTGGTCATTCAGTCCAAGTTAACTTATAAAGACCAACAAATGCTTTTCATTTAAACAGGCATGAAAAAATAAAAATAGAAATAACAATATTTTCGAATGATAATTTACTAAAGGCACACTTGCCTTACTGGCATGAAAGGTAAATATTTTTTCTTGAACCACATGTCTTAATTCCACGTTAGAATGTTAGACTGTAATTGCCATCCAGCACATGCCATCTTGGACATCAGCTTTTGAGTGTTCTTAAATAAAATGGATATTTTTGTTGTTTTGGTTTTAAAAACATAGTTAAGAGATTTAAAATTTTGTAAGTAAATTCAAAAGGTTACTATAGTTCAAACTTGTTTTCTAAATCTCTAAGAGTTGAAGTTATTTGGAGTTAAGATAAAAGATTTGAGCAGGACCCCGCCTGGGCAGCACACTAGAGCTGACCCTGTTGTGTGTGTGTGTGTGTGTGTGTGTGTGTGTGTGTGTGTGTGTGTGTGTGTGTGTGTGACAGATGAGCCATCCCTGAGGGCATGAGAGTAGGAGTGCTGAGTCCACCTCCCCACCCCTCTACCCCCAATCCCACCCCCGCCCCTGCCCCCTCTCCCTGTATGCCCCCTACAGCAATCAGGAGAGAGGGCCCTGCACCTTGCCTGGTCAAAACAATAGAGCTGACCCTGGCAATCTAAATGTGGAGGACAGGGGAGCTGAGGGTATGAGAGCAGAATTGCCCCTCCCCCTCCCTGCTGTAGGTTGTACTGGAGGCAGACACATAAGAATTACAATGATTTAAATGTAAAAGCCACTTGCAAAAGGCAGGCTGAAATTCAAAGTGCATGTCCTTTGTGATCTAAAAATAAAAACACTTAAACCTTGAATTTATATATAAAGAGAACAGGGAAACAGGTATATTTATCCACACTTACTGAGGTATATTTAATTTCAGAATTTCAAAAGAATTCTGTAAATTAAAAGATAATAATTTTTCTGTTGCCAAAAAACATCTTGCCCTAGGAAAGATAAAATCTTCCAAAAAAGGAACCCCTTTTTTATTATATTGTTGTTAAAAAACATAATGTAATAAGAAAAGAAAACAAGTTGCTTATAGACTGTATGGTAAGGTATTAGTGGGGATGTCAGCTCTGGAATAATATCATAAGTTTGCCTTTACCTAGTACCATGCTCTTAGGCAAAGTGTCAACTTTTCATAACCTCATTTTACTTTTTTTTTTTTTTTTTTTTTTTTGGTTTTTCGAGACAGGGTTTCTCTGTGTAGCTTTACGCCTTTCCTGGAACTCACTTGGTAGTCCAGGCTGGCCTCGAACTCACAGAGATCCGCCTGGCTCTGCCTCCCGAGTGCTGGGATTAAAGGCGTGCGCCACCACCGCCCGGCCTCATTTTACTTTTAAGTAGGAAAAAAAATTTGCAATGCTGGAAACTGAACTCAGGGCCTTAACATACTATGCACATGCTCTACCACTGTCCTGTATCCCCAGCTCAGGAATTAATTTCAATACTGCACATAACATTGGGTGCAGCATACCTGTACTTAAGTAGTTGATCATTTTTTTGTCCCTTGAATTAATATAGTTAAATAAACAGTGCTAGTATGAAACGGTCTGTATTTTCGGGGACGTCTCCTGGTTTTCCTCTTTTATTTTCTATACTAATAGAAAATTTCTGATTAAGGTTCATAATAACTAAAAATCTCCCCAGTAGTGAGTAACTCCACCAATGCAATAAGTCAGATCGGGCCAGGTTTAATAAGTCCAGGTTTAATCTGAGCAAAACATTCCCAGATGGTCCCAGGAAAGAGGAGAAGCCATGAGGGGAAACCATGAGGGGAAGTCTGTGGGCCAGACCTTAAATACCTGCTGGAGGTGGAGCTGCTGCTTGGCTGGCTCTTTGGACAGTATCTGGAGAGGGCAGCTCCAGGGGAGATTCCCCAACATCCCAACCATTTTGGGTATATGTAGACACAGGTTCAAGTCTGGCTGCTCCCTGCTGGCAAGGGATGACTTGGAGCGGGGGAGTTGGTGGGGACACGCTCAGCGGGAGGTATGGGTGAAGAAGCATTCAGTTTGCTACCATCCTGGAGACATCAGGCATCTGTTCCTTGGGGAGGCGGAGAAGACAAGTTGCTTGGAGAAAAAAATAGATTATTAACACTGGCCCCATGAACAGGACTAGCCATGGGGAAAAAAATGGAACAGAAATGTGCCCTGGTTGTACAGAAGAGGCAAGGGTGAATGAGCCAGATGAAAGAGCAGATATGCCTTTGAGTCTAGAAAGCTGGTACCAGCACTGATGTTCCAGGAGCTTCAGGCGATGACAGGCCAAATCGATGGATGATGTGTTCAAGAGTACCTGACCCATCACATCTGCTGTTTCCCTGGAGGTGGGGAGTGCATCCATCCTGTAAAGGTGTCAATAAGAGTTAAGAGATAATGGAGCTTTTTATGAATGAGCATGTAGGTGAAATCAGCCTGTCAGTACTCACCTGGTTGGTGTCCTCAGAGCTGGTGCAGGGGCTGGCATATCTGGAGGGCCCCCATGTGGGTTGGCCTTGGCACAAGGAAAGTAGTAGACCTCTGCAGAAACCTGCAGGTGTCTGTAAAACAACTGGAACAGATTCATATCTTGGTGTCATAGCAAAAGGCTATGGCTTTGGGTTAAAAGGTATGAACATTTTTCCTAGGGTCTAGTTTCAGCTCGATGAAACACACCTTTAAGTCTATACTTAGAGGACAACCAGAGGTAATTTACTGAACAGAAGACATTGAGTGAGTGAAGGAGGAGGAGGGAGGGAGGCTGAGGAGCGAGGGAGGAACAGAATTGAAAATGCCTGCAGGCTTCCATACCCTCTCTAATGCTAACCAGTCTCTAAAAGCTGGGACCAGTAAAATCCACAGAAATTTAAGAACTTCTGAAAACTGTCTGTAGTCAGTGCTCTATCAGTTTATAAGTACCCTCATCATCAAACACCCTCAGATCTGAGAAGGGTAAGAAAGAAGTGAGACAGCTTTCCAGTTACCTAGGCAATTCAAGGTTTCTCCATGGTCGTTGGGGAGGGGGGCGGGGACAGAAGTTCCAGAAGCAGTACCTGTCTTCAGCTGCCGAGCTCAGAATATCTGACAGGACTTTCCTTTGGGGTAGGGGTTTGGGGAGAGTGACCTGCCTTGCCTTGGCAAAGCTGGGCAGTCAGTTTCCCTGTGCCCTGTTCTTTCCATCTGAACAGGCTCTTGGCAGCAGTTGCAAAGCAGGATTTGGCTGCGTGGCTGGCTTTTTGCCACATTTAAAGCAAGCTTTAAGGTGCAAGTTCTTCTGTGGCCTTGGAGGAGATACAGGATGCTGCTAGGGGTCGGCATGTCTCTCTAAGATTTTTCATTAAAATGCCATATTCTCAGATCTCTGAAGCACTTGAGGATCAGCGGAACAAAATCTGTTAGATATTTTAAACTAGACAAATGTTTGGCCTTACTTAACTTTGAGAGCATTTATAAGTTAAATCTGGACTTACAGTTCACCCAGTTAGTTACAGCTTACCAATGTTAGTAAAAGCAAGAAGGTTAGATGGAATATTTTTTAGTCTCTAGTTTTCAGCTGTGGTCCTAAGATACAATCATAAGGCAAAACCAAGTTTTAACATTATAGACAATTTAGTGTTTTTTAAAATCAAAATCAAGGGGTTTATTCTTAGGTTACAAAATCTGGCTGCCAGCAAGACACATCCCTATACATGAATGTACGGAGGTACAGCTTTAATACCTCATTAAACCAGCATTGTTTTACATCCTATCTTTTATAAACCTTGTTTTTAGAACAGGACAGGGATTATCATACAGAAATCTATCCTAATCCAAAATAACTTGGAGACCTAATGTCTCCTGGTGGACCCATTTCCACACGGTCATCTCTTCTCTGTCTTAATGGCAGCTGGTCCGCATGGTTGTTTTAAATATGGAGTTACCAGTTTTAAGTTATTTTTTGTTAGAGATTTTTAACCATACCCAATTTCTTAACTATTTTTCTTTATAATAAGGTAGAGTGGGATAAAATAACGTTTTCTGTCATTACAAAATCTGAGCCCAAGTAGCTAGTTGTGAGCACAGCTGTGCTGTTACCAAGACACATGGAACACATAATCTCAGGCATTCAAAACCAGTCAAAAACAAGCACACTGTAACCACATTTCTATCCATACACATGAAATAGACGGGACTTAAGATGAGCAAAACTTTCCCCAGGAAGCCATCCATGTCAGATGGCCAAGTTAAAAATCCTGAAGTAAGAGTTTACAGAATAAGCAGAATGTAAGAAAGCATAGTAAAGACATTTCCTGGCCATGGCAGGAAGGCAGGCGGGCGTTGTCCGCCACGGTGCTGGGCTTGAAATGGCAGTGCCTCCGGCACTGAGCCCAGAGAAGGCTGGGAGAAGGGGATGAAAAACAGTAGCAGCAGGCTGCCTGAGCTGGAACAGCAAGTGAAGGATTTTGGGAAAAGAGATTTTTAGGAGAGAGGAAGGTGTAGCAGAGTTTATTGAAGGAGAACAGAATAGTTAAGGGCAGAGCGGATGGGTAGAATTTCAGCACAGTATGATGGGGGGTGTTGCCAGATGGGAAAAAGGGACCCCCACCCCTGGACTGCAGCATGGCACGGTGACAGTATCGGTAGGAGGGAGGGAGCAAACAGAGACAGACTACTGCAGGCATACGAGGCAAGCAGCGGCAAGCAGGGAACTCTGGGGGAGGGGGTGGAGACACAGACCATCAACAAAAGCATGAGATGGAAGGAAAGCAGGGAAAGAGATTTGTAGGAGAGAGGAAGATGTACCAGCATGCAGCAAAAGCAGAGTGAAGGGGCCGGGGCAGAGATGCAAAGAAACAGCAAAGGGGATGCTGGTGGGCCGAGAAAAGGGGTGTGATGCTCATCAACCTGGATGAGGGACCTAATTTGGATAAATTTCATAGCAATTGGAGATGAGACTGAACCTGCAAGCATCCATTCACAAGGCTTATTCTGGGGGGCTGGAGGCTACAAAAACTGCATCCGGTCTGTAAGCCTACTGACAAGAACAGTGTGCAACTGTCTCTCCGATGTGGAACATCTTTGGGACAGGAGAATTCTGGAATGGGCCCGGGGCTGGAGCTACCTGGTGTTGCAATGACCTTAGGAGGTGCTCTGGAAGTCTCCAGCACAGAGGGTCAAAGGCTTGGAAGGGATCCTGAATCTCTTATAGGCATTTTGGTTTGGAAGTGGGTGGCTTACCAAGTAAAGTCAGTCTGGTGCATCAGAGGATGTGGTATGTGTGTTGGGGGCTCACCCAGGCCAACACATCAGATAGATGATAAGTAAAAATCCCCCTGTAGCGAGTAACTCCGACAATGTAATAAATCAGATCAGGCCAAATTAATAAGTCCAGGTTTAATCTGAGCAAAACATTCCCAGATGGTCCCAGGAAAGAGGAGAAGCCATGAGGGGAAACCATGAGGGGAAGTCTGTGGGCCAGATGTTAAATACCCTCCGGAGGTAGAGCCGCTGCTTGGCGGGCTTTCTTTGGGCAGCTTCTGGAGAGGGCAGCTCCAGGGGAGATCCCCAACAGTTCACAGCTGTAGCTGATGTTCAAAATAAGGATCCATGTGATGTAGATGTTTTTAGTAGATCAAGATTTTATGTCAGATTTTTTTTATTGTAATTTACCCTTCGACTCTATTTTTAAGGAATTATTTCAGTATGTGATCAAATAGTCTTGCCTTGGTTTCCTACCAGTATAGGACTCTTATTATTTAAAAAAGAACGTTGGGTTTTTTCTTTTTTGTTTTTGTTTTTGTTTTTTAAGAAAGAAGCACACCTTTAATCCTAGTACTTGGGAGGAAGAGGCAGGCAGATCTCTGTAAATTCAAGGCCAACCTACTCTACAGAGCTAGTTCCAGGACAGTTAGGGCTACACAAAGAAACCCTGTCTCGAAAAACTTAAACAATGAAAAAAGAAACAAGATAAAATGTGTTGCTATTGCTGACATGGACCCGGAGGTGGGAAAGGCTGTGACTGCAGAGGTTTATTGTCCTTTGTCATGAGTATTTGTCACTTGTCCTGTCTTGGTGCTTTCAAAACTAAAGTAGCCAACTGGGTTTAGTAGCACAGGTGTTTAATCCCAGCACCTGGAAGGCAGAAGCCGGCAAATCTCTAAATTCAAGGCCATCCTGGCCTACATAGTGAGTTCCAGGGCAGCCAGAGCAACATAGTGAAACCCTGTGGGTGCAACAGAGTCAAGTTAATTATCAGTGCAAGGGTATGTGTGAGGCTTTTCATCCAATTTCACTTTGAGAATTAAAGAAGTAATGTGTCACTTGACCCAAAAGAGTTAAAGCTGTTAGATGTTGTCTCATTTGGACCTTATCACATTTATTGTGGTCACTCTACATAAGTACTTCTGATTCTTTTTTACTTACTGTGGCAATACAAAAACATGAATTAGTCCCTGCATAAAAGCATCAAATGATTCCTATGTATTTAGTCACCAGAATTAAAGCACGTTAAGGACTTAATTCTCCAAACTGGAAATGAGAAACTTAAAACAAATTTGAGACTGGATATGCTTGGGATTTGTGATCATTTAATTCATTTTCAAATAGCAAAACCTTAAAACTCTTACTGTTTGAGGAATGCAAGTTTTTCTCATTGAATCTAAAGTGGAAATATTAAAATGATATGAATTGTGACATCATGGTCACATTGTTTTCCAGTAGCAAGGTGGCAAAGGAAGTGGAGATAGAGACAGAGTCATGAAAATGTTTACATTTCATCTATAATCTCCTAATGCATTTCTAGAAAATGTTGCAGAAAAAATTAATTTTAAAAAAATTTTCCTTTATTTTTAGGCAATTGTCAGGCTGTATTTGGACAAGGCCACTCTAATCTGGAATGGAAATGTTGTTACAGGGCTGGAAGCCCTTACTAATTTTTTTGAGATGTTGCCTTCCAGTGAGTTCCAGATCAATATGTTGGACTGCCAACCAGTTCATGGTAAGATCATGATCTTTCAAAGCATCTCCTTTATTTGCTGTTAGTAAACATTGAGGTTCACACCTAAAGCAGCAATAACTTTTAATAGTAGATATATTTACTTATTTGAGTAAGTGAAGTGTCACGAAAAGTAATTTATACAGTCAGGCTTTGGGACTTTTAGATGCTTTTCACTCCGGAGAACTATCCAGTTTAGATAGTGTATGATTATTGGTTATTACAATTTATATGAGGAATTGCAACTAAATGTGATTTTTGTTGAAAAGGAGAATGCCTACAGAAAAAAAGTCTATGCTGTATCATAGATTAATATGTTTGCGGTTCTGTTAACATTTCAGAGAACCGTATTCTGTGAAAGAATGACATGACAGAATTTGATTCAGTAGTTGATGTAGTGTATAATATTTACCTCTAGATGGAGTACTTACTATCTTAAGTAGTTGTTTATAGTGGTATTTCCCCGTATAGTTCCTGAAGAATGACTTAAGAAGCAAACTGTGAATGATGTTAGATATCTAATGAAATATTAGTACATATAGGAAATAAATGGTCATGTTAGATTTATAATCTTTGTTTTGAAACATAAGAGTACCCCACAAATCTTTCTGGATAGAAAAATCACCTTAATTTTTTTTTTCATATTCAACTTTTGACTTCAGGATGCATGTTCCAAGTGCAGAACATTTATGAAAAAATTTTAGCATTACAGTATAAGCTTATTTAGACATGTAAATTGCTATCTTTCTCTTGTTTGTGTTGCTAAAGAGCAAGCTACCCAGTCCCAGACTACAGTTCTCGTTGTGACCAGTGGAGCTGTGAAGTTTGATGGGAACAAACAACACTTCTTCAACCAGAACTTCCTGCTGACTGCACATAGCACTCCTAACAGCACTGTGTGGAAGATCGCAAGTGACTGCTTCCGCTTTCAGGATTGGGCTAGTACTTAAAGGAGCAGAAGCCCGTTCTCTAGGTCCATTAGTTCCAGCAGGAGAAGTTTAATGTGAATTAATATATTTCATTGCCTAAGTACTACATACCAGTATGTGCTGAAACAAAAATGTATGTAATATGTTCTTTATTCCTAGCAACACTTTTGCTAGAGCAGTTGCCAGTTTGGATTATTGCCCCTAAGAACTTTAAAGATAGTTTTTTACATACCTTATGTATACATTCCGCTACTGATACTCTCGGGGTAATATTAAACATGATCCAGGTACTAAGATCCTCATTATGAACCCCATCTGTTGCACAAATGGAGTCCTTTTGTAATACTGTCTATGGAATAGCACAACATAGCTCTGTCGGAGGAAGTAGTGGCTTTTCTGTCCTTAGGATAATTTTTCAATGAAGCACATGCCTGTTTACAGTCAACACTGGTAATATAGTTTTAATATATAAGCATAGATTTTTGAAGTCAATTCAAATTAGTTTACACACCAGTATTCTGACATATTTGAATTAGATATAAGGGTTTTATAGTCCTTACTGTTTTCTTACATCAACATGTTTCCTTTTGAAATAAGATGATCAACTAGATGGGCGAAAAAATGTGCGTGGCTGATACTTGAGTATTGGGTGCATTTAGTGGCAATAACACCTTTCCAACATTTTCTTGGCAGCTTCAGGTCAATATAGTTATGTGGTAAGTGGTAGTGAAACTAAAAGCTTTAATGGGAGAATGGGGAATAGAAAATGTAGAAATCCAAGACTGAAGCCAAAAATGAGAGAGGTGACCAAGTGATAAGATCAGTTCTTGTTTCTTCCTGGCAGTATAACCTAGTTTGGGGATTTGAATCCCAGAGTCTTTTAAGTATTCTTGCCAAATGGTCATAAGTTTGCTTTTTGTTCTAAGAATTGGATTTTAAGATCTTCTTACTTTTCTTCATACGTGTCTGTAGTATCCTTCGCAGTTTATTTGAGAACTTATACAAGTCAGTCGTCAGCAGTAAACTGAACTTTGTGACAGACTCTGAAAGTTAGAAAGAAAGCTACTGCTGTCTCTGTGCGCCCTGAACTCCAAAGGCTCCCACATCAACTTCAGTCCCAAAGACTTCTGTATGTTACCTACCACCCACATGAATGGTTTTCGCCTCTGCTTTTTGTACTATCAACTGTATTATCTACTACTTAAAGTTGTCTTTAATTTTATAATTTGTTTTTATGTGGCACTGGATAAAAGAAAAATCAATATTAAAACATTTCTTCCTGTAGTTAAAAAAACCATAAAAACAGAAAAGATCTTCATGATAAACTTTAAAGGAACAAACTCATTAATTTTAATGTTTTAACTTCTAGAGAATTTTTAGTTTTTAGTTAAACTTTAAAATTCTTTGTAATTAAATATTTTAAGCCAAATATGCTAACTTTGTTCTGTAGTACAACCAAAATTAAATTTTTATCACTAAATTTTAAAACTAGTAATTTACTTTGGCCCAGAAATACACACTATATTTCTAATTAATGTGTTATTAAGACTGAATTAAATATAAGGGGATGGAACTGAGATTAAAACCATTCCTTTTTTCAGTGCTTAGCAAGACTTACACGTTCTGTTCAGAGTATGTTTACACTTATTTTGAATTAGCTTTTTAAAAAACTACATCTTTAGCAGAAACAATTAAAATGCCCAAGTACTACCCTTTCTGTTGGTAGAGAACAATCTCAAAAGCTGTGTACAGCTAGCAGTAACAGAATTGAACCATTATGAATTACTTTATCCATACTCTGTATAACTCCATAATCTGTATGACGTTTAAATGGCTGGAACTTCTCACATATGGACTAAACTATATTTTTGACATGTTCATATTTTTATAACTTGAGAAATACAATAAAAATGGCATTTTGACAAGTTTTCTCAAATCTTTCTTAAGGTGTTTTTGTATTTAAGTTTCCAGAATGGGAGCTTGTTCTTCATAAGCCTCCTTAAAATGAAAAAAAAAGTTAAAATGTTAAAAACAATAGTAGATAATTTGGACTTTTTTCTTTGTCATTTCTATAGTCCATCTTTTTCTCCCTCTTTTCCTACCAAGTATTCCCATTGCAACTCTTTGAAGTACCAGTGAAGTTTGGGGTGAGACGTTAGAACTCTTAACCTGGAGAAAATAGCTGAAACATTATATTCAGTAAGCATTGAAACAGAAATACACTTGTATTCCAGAAATATTTATTCTTTCAGCTTTAATGTTACATTAAAAATATGTCAACAGGATCTGGAGAGAAGGTTCAATGATTAAGAGCTGATGCAATACAAAAGAAAAGAGACTAACCCTTGGTGTTATTTACACAAGAGTTGGCCTGATTTGTGCAGAAGAGTCCTAATCTCTCCCCTAATCTCATTGATCTCTTGAACAAAGGCTATCTACTAGCTATTGAACAGCATGGCAAATGTATTAAAAAGAAATGAGGAACTTTTGTCTTAATCCTTTACAGAAGTCTTACAAGGGAGTAAATTGGTTTTTTTGGTCCTATTGACTCAGAACAGTACATGAAACCACAGTGAGATATATATAACCCCATGTTGCTTTCAACATTTTTCTTAATGGGTGAGATGGGCATTGCTTTTAATGTCTCATTGTTTTCAGCACAACATCTTATGTGCATACATTATTCCGATTAAAGGATAAATGTGGTATTTGGGAAGGAAACAAGAAGTCAACTAAGCAAGTAACAGCCAAAGAGATAATCCTCTTATTCTAAAATTTTGCTGGATTAACTATTGCCAGCAATTAGAGGGGACATTTAGTAGACAATGCTTTCATTTGTTTACATTTGTTGTAAGATTGAATGTGAGATCGGAAGGATAAGCATGCTTTATTCTGGCTGATGTGGTAATCCAGCGTTCAGGAAGCAGAGGCAGGTGGATCTCTGAGTCAGGCCAGCCTGATCTACGTAGTGAATTGCTGGACAACCAGAACCACAAGATAAAAAAAATAAAGTGCAAATAGTCCATGTGCTTTAACACAGCCACGTATTTAGCAGGGAAATGGTAGGCCTTTTTGACTTGAGAGTTGATTGTAAATCAGAGTATTTTTTCAAAACATTACCAAACTGTTCTAGTTAGTATGTTTCCTTTGCCAGGTCCTTCTACACAAAAAGATTTCTCTTTGGGCTATATAGTTAAATCTAGCCTTCTATAAAAAGCAATAAAAGGTTGAGAAGTGTGCTGGGTGGTGGTGACGCACGCCTTTAATCCCAGCACTCGGGAGGCAGAGGCAGGCAGATCTCTGTGAGTTCCAGGCCAGCCTAGTCTACAGAGTGAATTCCAGGACAGTCAGAACTGTATCACAGAGAAACCCTGTCTCGAAAACAAACAAATAAACAAACAAAAAAAGGTAGAGAAGTATAAGGATTATTGTTGTAGTAATGTGTCAGATGAAAGCTTTTAGGTTACAGTCTGTATTTGTGGTTAAATGTGCAATAAAGTTCCAGATAGTAAGGGCTGGTGGGACTACTTAGCTATTAAGAGCACTAGTTGCTCTTCCAGAAGACCTATGTTCAATTCCAAGCATCTGCATCATTGCTCACAATCAAGGAATCTGATGCCCTCTTCTGGCCTCCGCAGGCACTGCATGCATATAGTACTCAAGGATACATGCAGGCAAAGCACCCCCCCCATGCATGTCAAATAAAAGCAACTCTTAAAAAAACATATTTCCTGATAGTTTGTACAAAGTTTACTCTGACTCACAAGCTGTTATATTTTACTTCACAACCAATTATTAGAATGCACAAATAAATGAAATGTTTATAATTCATACATAACCACATGATATACTCCTGGAATTTATTTATTATTTATTTTGTTTTTTCAAGACAGGATTTTTCTGTGTAGCCCTTGCTGTCCTGGAACTCACTCTAACAGACCAGGCTGGCCTCAAACTCAGAGATCCACCTCTGCCTGCTAAGTGCTGGGATTAAAGACATATGCCACGAGTACCCTGCGTGGAATTATATTTTAATTTCATGCTATTATTTTTTGTTAATTCCAGTTATAACCTGCTCAGCTCTTTTAGATCAAATTTTTTTAAAAGATTTATTTATTATGTATACAGTGTTCTGCCTGCATGTGTCCTTGCAGGCCAGAAGAGGGCACCAGATCTCATTATAGGTGGTTTTGAGCCACCATGTGGTTGCTGGGAATTGAACTCAGGATCTCTGGGAGAGCAGCCAGTGCTCTTAACCTCTGAGCCTTCTCTCCAGCCCCTACTTTTAGATCATCTTAAAGGATTGAATCAATAGTTTGAAAAAGACAAAAATTGAACTACATGTACCATCACTGTCCCTTTCTCATGGGGAATGTAGGGTCCGCCTCCAAAATAATGGGCCGTGTGTCAGTGATGTTACCCTAATGCACAAATTATCAAAAACTTTCTCCTCTCATGCTTGTCTTCTTTAGTGAGGGCAGTTCTATTGGTTACTTTCTATTTCTGTGATAAGACACCATGAACTTCTAGAAGAAAAAGATGATTTCTTATTAACAATGCCAGGCAGTATCCCTGATGACAGAGGGGAGATGACAGACAGGAACAGCGAGCTGAGAGCCCAAATCTTGAACTGCAAACAGGATTCGGAGAAAGCAAACTGGGAATGGCTGCAGTCTTTAAACTCTCAAAGCCCAACTCCAGTGACGTACTTCCTCCAATAAGAAAAAACCTATACCTTCCTGAACAGCACCACTAGCTGAGGTCTGAGTAGTCAAATCCCTATGGGGGCCATTCTCATTCAAGCCAACACATTCCATGCTGTTTTTCTCTTGAAACCATACATTTTTATTTTATTTAATTTTGCTTCACATGCTTCTTTTCACTGTTGATCTGCATAAGAGTGTGGTGGTTTGAATGAGAATGAACCTCATAGGTTCATATGTTTAAGTACTTGGTTCCTAGTTATAGGGACTGTTTGGGAAGGATTGGGAGGTGTGGCCTTGTTGGAGGAGGTGTGCCACAAGGGACAG